GAGTCCAACCTGGGTGGAGACATTATACTACAACCAGGAGCAAATTACATGTTTTAAATAGAGTGTCAAGGAAATATACTCAAAAAAGAAATAAATAGGTATAAAAAGTAGAATCTTAAAAATCAGGAGATGCAAACAAGAGAAGGAATGAACAAATGAGGACACATAACCAGGCTAATTGGATTATGAACCACAGAAAAGTGATTGTCTAAAGGTTAGAAAATAGTTTTCAAGGTTATAACCTAGAATTTTTCTGTTTTTATTTCTTTAACTACTCAGATTTACTGAAGAAGATAGAATTCAATTCTGAAAGCCTAGCTTTATAACTACAATATCAATAAACCAAAGTACTGACTAAAAAGGGGTATAATAATGGGTATATCTTTAAGAATTTGTCTAAATATATATAATAGGTATATCTGATGCAGATTTGACTATTACAGGATTTCCTAAAAACTAAATTTGTGTCATACATTTAAAATGTACATTAACAGTAAGAATAGTATATAACATACCAGTCATTAAATTTAACTTATTGAGGACCTTTTCTAACGTCCATCAAGAACTTGGGGTTATTAGGAAAAAGATGTGTGTATTGGACCAGAGCTGAATGAGATTGTAGTCTAGCAGTGTAGACAATGTCAGCATGCAGACATACAACCAGCCTTTCCTTTAGATGTGGATTAAAAGTACAGAAAGTATTCAGAAAAAAATAAATATTAGTGTCAAGAAAAATTTCCAGGAAGATGTGGAATTTAATTTGGTTTTTAAGATGTAGTAAAAATTCAAAGCAGGTGCACTAAAGGGAATAAATCAAGCAAAGTAACAGCTAGCAAGGGAGCATGACCTCCCCGAGGAACTGTCAGCAAATATGCACAACTAAATAAGGAGCTGTGCAGAGAGGGGAATATTATATACGCCCTGAGCCTTAAGCTGGGGTCTGATATTTGAGGAAATGAAAAGCAGGTTGGGATAGGAGGTGAAGGCTGCATTTATTATCACAGAACTATTATAGGTTGCTGAAGGTGGCATATGATAATAAACTAGTATTTTCAGAAGATGATTTTGGAGATGGTAAGCAGCCTGCATTATAGGAAAAGTACCTTCTGTTAGGGAGATAAGCCAAGAGATTTTGATCTAATCTAGTTAAGAGGTGCTAAGAGCTTGCACTTGGGCTGTGAAAGATGGAGACAAAAACTCAACTCTGAGAGATATTTTAAGGAGAAAATTTCAAGTCTCAGTGATAGGTTGACTACATGAGATAAAGGTGAAAGACAAGAACAAAATAAATTGACTTCTAACTCTATTTCCAATGACTACAAGCATGATGATCCCATGTCTGATAGAAAAGAGAGTTGGAACACTTGCTATTTGTGAATCATAAATAATTCAGCTTTGTGTAGGATTTAGTGAGACTCAAGACCACATGGTTCTGGACATGTAAGTGCTGTTCTGACTTTGACTGGACAACCGGCTCCTTCCAGAGGGTGAGAGAGGAACAGCATGAGTAATATCCATGAGGTGTCTTCTGGGAGCTAGGACTTGGGTTTTGTGACCCCACACACTATTTGTGACCCAGGTTTCACTATAATAATGATTGTCAATTACAGAGCAATTACTATGTCTGAGCTTCTGTCCTAACTATATCTATTCATTGAATTATTATTAACAATCCTACAGTATAGGTATCAGTAACTCTATTTTACACATCAGGAGACTGCCCCAAACCTTTACATACCTAGAAAAAGATTACACAACTATTATCTTATTTGTTGAAGAAAGACCATCTTAAGAATCTGGTCAGTCTGACATCAAAGACTCAAACATTTCCAAAGGTAATTTATAAAGGAAGGTATAGCATTTGGAAAACCCTGAAATGACATCAACTCTCATTCTCTTGGTTTCTCCCTGCAATCTATTCCTCTGGGACTTCATTTGGATGGGCTTTTTTAAAGTGCCACATTGACGGTGCCATATTCCATCGGTTCCACAACTTCTACTAGGTCTTTGCTAAATGAATAGCCCTTTCCAGGAAGTAAAACAACATGAGAAAGTAGGTTCAGTTTGTTTAAGGGCAATCATTAGTAGTAAGTAAGCGTCAGCCAAGAGCAAGTCAACTCTATACTAAAATTTTCACATAGTGGTTAAAGAGCAAAGTATGAATTATTCAAAATATACTAATGGTCTAAGTAAATGATTCTGTTTAACCTAGGCACAAAATCAGTATATTAATTAGTCCTTATAATTGCTTAAAATAAAAAAGCTAAATGTGCATAGACATTAAAATTATTTTTGAGAAGGCTATACATTTTTCTGAATATATAAGAACTCTTGTTTATTGTGCAATTCTTGTTTTGCGACCCAAGTGCCCCTGGGACCCGTTGAGATCAAGGTTAACAGGAAATAAGCCTGAGGTGGACTAGAAGCCTCAGAATTGAGGCAGCTTAGCAAGAGGGCAGACATTTTTTTCAGACCTGGCCTTGAACCGCAGTGCTCATGGTTGGCTTGTTTCCTGGGTGGGGCTCGTGGATATAATTTCTAGTTCATAATGTGTTCTTCCACGGTCAACGAAAAGAACTATCTTGAAGTACACCTTGAACTTTTTTTTTTTTTTTTATCCTCACCCAAGGACATTTTTTCCATTTTTTGTTCAGATAGAGCGGGAGGGAGGGAGGGAGGAAGGGAGGGGGAGAGAGAGAGAGAGAGAGAGAGAGAGAGAGAGAGAGAAACATCGACGTGAAGGGACACATCGAGTGGCTGCCACCCGCACGACCAACCAGGGCCAGGGACAAACTGCAACCGAGGTACATGCCCTTAGCGGGAACCGAACCGGGGTTTCTCTGTACCGCAGGCCGACGCTCCAACCGCTGAGCCAAACCGGCCAGGGCTACACCTTGAACTTTCGTTAAGAATTAGATGTTAGGGCCTGTTGTTTGAATGGATTTAAGCATAAAAACCCATAGATTTTTAAAAGTAGAGTTTATTCTGAAGTCAAACTCTTTTGCTTGTAAGAGGAAGGGCCTAGTTTCTTGCAAGAGGGACGGGATCAAGACCAGATATAAATGTCTAACTGGCCAACAGTTGAGCTAGAAATGTAAGATTTTGGAGTCACAGATTAGAGAAACTGTTAAACCAAAGGAAAGAAAATGAGAAAAACAAAATGGAGTATAGAATAAAAAAATAATTTCTAAATGTGAGTATCAGTAAGAGATGTCTGGCACTGGTGGCTTTGAGGAGAGGGATTCCCACAGGCTGGAGAGGTGGAAGATAAACTTCACAAAGACCAGATGGGGACGGGAGGGGAGGAGTCAGATAAAGGAAACTCCGAAAGCTTTTATATTGAGAGGTAGCAATGCATATTTTTAGAACATTCAAGCTGAGTACACATTTAAAACAACTGATTTCTTTCAAGAAATGAAAAAATCAAGAAAAATTATAAACTTAAGACATTACATTTGAAGTTGATGAAGAATGAGAAAATAACTTGAAACACAAAGAAGAAATAAATTCTGATATTCTCCAATCTCAATTTATGTTAAAAATATAACTAGTGAAAAAGCGCTACACAGGAAAAATAAGAGGAGCAGGCTCCTAAAAGATCTGAAATAAAAATTATAGGTTTTATAGATATAGAGCAAAAAATCTGACTCTTTTTAATGCACATAGATTTTTAAAAACATGGTGGTTTTCTTAAAACTGAAAACTCATTGTGTTTGAGTAATTCATATGTGTAATTTAAATCATTTTGGATACTTTATAACAAAACACTTCACAAAATAAAACTGTTTTGCATATGTAAAGAAATTTCAAATGTAAATACAATTGAACTAATAGCTGAAAACGACTGAAGAAAATGTGTTCACTTTTAAAAAGAGACTTAATTTTATTTTTGAAATGCAAGCCACAGTTTGTTTTTCTCTTTATCCGGGGTGTGTGTGTGTGTGTGTGTGTGTGTGTGTAAGAAAAAGTTTTAAATGGGGCGGAGGGAGTGAAGGACACTACAGAGAATCTCATTTGCTGAACCAAAGCAGTGCCCCCTACTGTTTCATTCCTGCAAAAGCAAGAACAAGAGGACTCAACACTAGCTAGAAAAAACAACAAAACCAACTGAAAAAAGAAAAATAAGTCCTATAAATGATTTTTACTGTTGTCAAAACTGGCGATTCTTGAAAATGTTCACCATTCTAATTAATCTCCGGAAAATAAACATGAAACACTAGAGGTACCATCTAACAACTTCATTTATTTCAGAGGTTATTTGCACTGGGCTTTAGCAATCATGCAAACCCAGTGAAGTCCTGTTTCCCAGGAAAGACCTATTTACCTCTACTTTTTCTACTGTCAATACCATAAATGAGTTTACCCCTTCATCTCTTATCCCTCAACTTATGATAGAATGGAAGGAACAAGGGAACAGCATGTTGCAAAGAAGGGACAAGTGAGTTCTTAGAAGCACCAAGAATGAAATGTGAACCACTTGCCTCTCTCTCTGGCCCCGTGGTCAAGATCAATCTGCTCTGCTTTCGTTTCACTATATAATTAAAGATTTGCACCTCATTGTTCATTCTTCTACCCTTTTCAAGCCCAGAGATTCTGTCATTAAAATAAACTTACAGATGCACAACAGAAAACTCTACCAAAACAGGGTTGCGGAGTGGAGGGAGAGTTGAACTCTGCCCAGTCAGTGTCCCACTCTGACTGCCCACCCCTTGCGTGGTTTCTGGTTACTTTCATGGTCACTCTGTGGTTCCATGGAGCGCAACTTGAAAATTGTATGACGTCCACTAGCTCTACAATTCTGGGTTCCATGAGGAACCCAGGGTCGAAATCTAACTCCGACCCTTATCCCTTTGGGAGTCAGATGAAATCAGAAACGCCCATGGTTGGTCTGATGCTCAGTCTGAATTCAGGGCGCTCGTCTAGGGTGGGACCTCGGAGAGCATGAAAATACCGTGTTGAACGTGAGTGAGTTCTAGAGACGCGTTTCCAATGCTACTCACTGTGATATGACACCAAACACAGTGCAGTCCTGTCAGGCCCTGGTAACACTTGACGGTTTTATGGCACTTGTCGCACTTGGTCGGGCAGTTGCCTTCGACCCAGTAGTGATGCATGACCTGGAACAGAGGAGAGCACGGTCAGAGGGGGCGCCCACAAACGCCGCCCCCGGGACTCGGCGCGGCCACACTCACGTCCGTGTTCTTCTTGGACTTCACGTAGGTCTTGATGCACGAAGGAGGCGCGCGGGCCACACAGCGCTCGTGCACGGTGTACTTGCAAACTGCAAGGGAACACAAAGCCCTCGTCAGAGCCCATCCTGCTCCCCGTGGCAGTTTTACGGGGAAAGAATGACATTAACAGAATCTCATTTCAGAGCCACTGCTCCGGAATCAATCCAATCAGCCACATCAAGGAAAAGTCCGAGCCGACTGTTTTGACCATGGAATACAAAAGACCAATTAGCACAGGAAATATTATGCATGTGAAAAACCAAGACTCCTCTATCATGGCATAGCAGGAAATGCTTAATTAAATCAGAACCCCCTCAAATTTTGCACAATAACTTCCAGATGACAAAAATATTAAAGACAGATTGATGGCTGCCAAATGGCTTGGTGTCATTTGCTAGAAGAGAAGATCTATAGTTTACGAAGCATAGGCACGAGAGCAGCTGGCAGGCATGGGAATAAAAGCCCATGAGTTTATGCTATTTGGTCTATTGACTTATCTAAACCTTAAATGGCTGATTAGTCTATTTCCAGAGAATTGATTTCATCATACATGCCAGGCCTTTAGGAACAGTTCGTCCCTCATTTGTCACCATGGCACTGTTTGTCCCAAACGAACAACCATTCCAGGCAGTATGTGATAAAAACGTATACACAAAAGCAAAACTTTATATTTATATGCAAATATGTATCTATAGGCCTACAAATATATATATGTGTGTGTGTGTGTGTGTGTGTGTGTGTATAGATGCAAATTGTGATGTAAAACTGAGACATGTATTTCACTGGCATCTTCATTATCTCATGGCTTGGATCTGAAAATAACTTAGGGTCATATACAAATGTTCTTTTAATAGAAGAACAATCGGGAGTTCTCAATGCATGAAATACAGAATAAAAATTTAATCTAAAACAATCATGTAGCCCTCTTAACAACAACCAAAAAAACTAACCACTGCATGAAATTAGAACAAAAAATTCTAAAGCCACAGAATATTTACATAGTAAAACTTTTTCCTGTTATCCACATCTGCGATTCCTTTGGCAACACCGAGGAAGAAAACATACTTTGTTTTCTCTTCCATATTGACACAAATGTCAAGGGTATTGCAGTTGCTCCACTAATTGGTTAAAATGTGTGAGCAAATATTCTCTATAACATCTCTCACCTTACTTGAAAGTTATTTTGTTTTCTATACTCCCATCAAAAAAATTCACCGTGAAAAATTATTTTTCTTACAAATACCAGAACTCTAAAAACAGAGTAGTTCCCCTGTACATGGAGAATGTCCTGGTGAAACCAGTCTTTCAAAGGTAAGCACCAGAACCTGCCCCTCTAAAGTCAACACCAGGAGATTTCATGTAACTTTACTAAAGTCCTTGAACAAGAAATCACTTAAACGTGGCCTTGAAATGTGGTTTTTAATGTTAAATAATACAACTGAAAGTCAATTCCCAAATATACTACCAAAGAAGCTGCTAGCTAAAAATAATACCTGAAAATGACATATTGTGTGGAAGCCAAGGAAGATATTAGATTTACTATAAATACACAAAAATAGGATGTGTTAATAAACTTAGCGCAAAAGGGTGTCGATGGACAAACTGCTGGACCAGGACAACTTCATACCCTCTGAAGGAGGACACAACATACCCTCTGTTTCCACAGAGGCATCTGGGGATGCCAACATTTCTCAGGCATACATGGTGTAGATGTAAAAACACTTAGGTTTCTTACAAATTAATTGTAAAGTAAACTATTAGAAAATTTTACTGGGCAGCACTCACTTAATAGAACACAATGAAAACGGCAAAGATAAGTGTCCTGAAATGAAAGTTATGGCCACAACTCACGGAGTGGCAGGGTTCTGGGTTCTAATATCCATTACTCCCATGGGAAGTTTCTTCATGATAGCATTAAAAATAAAGTGCCTGCCTGGCTGGTGTGGCTTAATGGTTGAGCGTCGACCTTTGCATCAAGAGGGTCGCTGGTTCGATTCCTAGTCAGGGCACATGCCCAGGTTGTGGGGCAAATCCCAGTGGGGGGCATGCAAGAGGCGGCCAATAGATGTTCTCTCTCATCAATGTTTCTATCTCCCTCTCCCTCTCACTTCCTCTCTCTCTAAAAAGTAATAAGAAAAAAAAAATGCTTTAAATAAATAAATAATGTGCCTGAGTGGTAGGATGAGTTTGTATTTCTTGTGATTTCTTAATCTGAATGCAAATTGACAGCCAATGAATTTAACTGTTTCTAAAAGACCCAAGGAATGGACTCATTAGGAGAAATCAATGTGAATAAAATGGCTAACTTAGAAAGAAGAAAGAAAAAAAAAAAAAGATAAATCTGAGTTAGATATAAATAAGATAAACCAGTGGAAATTTTTATAAAAATCTCAGTAGAAATGGGAACAACGAATAAATTAAATGATGGAAGGAAAATGGCTCACGAGCTGAAAAATGTTCTTAGCTCTTTCCTAAGAGAGAGTTTTCCAAAACGGAAGAAAGTGAAAACACCAGTGACCTAAATATTCAGAAACATGCCCACCGGAGGAAGGGATAAATCACAGTCTCCACCTACAAATGGGGCCAGTCCGTGAATATGAACCTGTGCTCACGGGGCTGATGACGTCCGGGCAGGACACATACTCACAGGAGCAGCACAGGCCCTGCTTGCCAACCCCGATCAGCATGTTCAGGCAGAGGTTGCAGTAGGCAGGTTTGTTAAAGTGCTTGAGTCTCCACACATGCTGTCCATCATCTTTCACGTTCTGCAAGGGACGTAAGAGAAACAGATTGCACTTAATGAAATAAACAGTGGAATATGTAACTGCCAATAAAATTCAGAGCTGGACGAAAGCGCTTGAAGACAATCTGTTATTTCATCCCTGACTTTCTCCAAGGTCGCCACAGAGTCTAGAAAAACACATGTGCTCTGGTGCAATGAGATCCTGCTAACAAATCTCGGATGCTATAGCAACCCACAAATTTTTGTCTCATGTCAGCAGTTCAACAGCATGTCCCAAACCGTCCTAATGACCTGCCAAACCGAGGGACGTGTCTGCCTCGACTTTGAATACTTTATCCTTAGCACAATTCCATAAACAAATACGTGAAGGAAGAAAGAGAAAATGAGTGGAAGAGACTTACAAACGAAAACTTGAGAAGAAAATGTTAACCCTTGCTTAGTAGTCATAATACGCACATTTTTTGATGGTGGTTAGGTCTTATAGGGAGGATGAAGGGTGGGATAATAAGGAATAATTCTTAAAGGTCAGTCACTGGTGCAATTCTAAGGCTTCAGTTGGGAATCCCCTCTATGTTACAGTTTATATTAATATATTTTTTTCATGTCTCCAATAGTAAAATTTTTAAAATAAACATTTTTAAAGACCTACATTACATAATAATACTTTCCTCTTTTTTTTGTAAAATAGGAATAATTTTAATCTCATAGAAAAGTAGTAAAAATATTAAAACTGCCTTACGGTATTTATTTATAATAATTACTATAGTTATTTGCCACCATTAAACTTAAATATATGTTTTTCTTTATCGATTTTTAGAGAAAGGAAAAGAGAGAGTGAAATAGAAACATCAGTGAGAGAGAACACAGACGGGCCGCCTCCTGCACGCCCCCCACTGAGGACAGGGACCCACAACCTGGGCATGTGCCCTGACCGGGAATCAAACTGGAGACCTCTTGGTGCATGGGTCAATGCTCAGCCACTGAGCCACACCAGTCAGGTACCACAATAAACCCTTAAGTTTAAATAATTCACATTCTAGCGAAACAACTGCAATTATTACTTATTCTTTTAGATAAAACTCTATATAATATCAAAATAGCAACTTTACTAATAGGTAATTAATTCTATCTGTATTGTTCAAGATTAAAATAAATTCAAATAATGATGCTTATGAATGTCTTAAACTCCTTATGAGAAGTTTAAATGTATTAAATGAAGTTATTACATATCATTTTGTTACCAATATTTTCTCGTTAACATCTAGTCCTTATATACCATTCACCAAATTGTATCAAATTCAATTAATTTTAGACAGCATTTATTGGTATTCTATCAAAACAATTATAGGTCATAATTACAAGTTGTCATATTTCTTAGAATACATTCACCTAATAATTTTTTGATCACCAACTCAGTACTGGGGCACATACTAATTCTACAGTAGTGGAACAATACAAACGTATCTAGATCATCTTGTTTCTCTTGATTAAAATATATTAATAATGTATCCTAACCACTTTTTCTTATTCCCAGTCAAGAGATACACCATCAAATTTGTAGAGCCAGATTAGATCCATAGTAACTAATTCTTACATTAGAACCAGAAATGTCAAATTTGCATCATAATATGAAATATCAGTGGAAATGTTTCCAGGGAGATAATTCTCCAAGGGTCTCTTAAATTTCTGCACATTTTGTAAGCAGGGGAGCCGTCTTTTTTCCAGGCTATCTTTTCAAAATGTCTGAATAACAAGTAGCTTTAGACAAGAGCTATGTATTCCTCCAGAGCAGAGAGTGGGTGAAATAAGATAAAAATCTTTTCAGTAAAATAAAAATCTCTCCCATCACAGCAAAGATTAAGCAAGTGTGTTTAATGTACATTATAAAAATGTTAGTTTCCATCCTGACCGGTTTGGCTCAGCGGTTGGAGCGTCGGCCTGTGGACCAGAGAGTTCCACGTTCAGTTCCCGCTAACGGCACGTACCTCGGTTGCAGTATGTTCTCGGCCCCGGTTGGGGTTGTGTGGGTGGCAGCCAGTCAATGTGTCTTTCTCACATTGATGTTTCTCTCTCTCTCTTCCTCCCTCCCTCTCTGTCTGAAGACACATGCAGAAGTGTCCTCAAGTGAGGATTAAAAAAAAAAAAAATAGTTTCCCTAAGACAGGGTTCCAAGCTCTGACGGTCTGCACAGGAATTACCTGGGACACACTCTGTCACCCTTCTGAGAGCTGGCGCAGGCATGAAGCTCCAGCTTGCTTTGCTGTGAGCTACAATGTCCTTGGTCTCTGACCTATGAGTCTCATGTCCTCTGCCAGCATCCAGAACGAAACTGGCAAGCTAACTTGTTAACTTGTAAGCAGGATACATTTCTGACCCTTCACAGTCCTTGACAATGCTCAGATTCCGTTTTCTGACAAAGAAACAAGCTCTCAATAAAAGCAGTTTTGCAGAAGGTGTCATGGAGAGGACTTCAGAACACATAGTGTTTTAATTTTCTTCCAAAACTTACGCAATAGTCTTTGTAGTAAGTTCTGGATCCAGCTCTGTTTTGCTTGAGTCATAAGACGTCTAGTATGTTTATTATAATGAATAGAATGATTTACGTAACTGTCTAACTTTGCTATATTTTCCAAACTGTCTATATATTTTACATTTCTATTCCTTCATGTAAGAATAAAACATCCTGATGTGAAAACATTTGTGCAATGAGGTTGCTAATTTTTCAAAAACATATTGATAAAGTTAACGGTTTGAGGCCTTAGAAATAATGTAAGTGCAAAAGAGAAAGGAAAAATCCAATTTTCATAGGCATTACTGTTTTTACAGTTCTTATCACTTTATTTTTAAATGATTGTCCATTATGTGTGAATTCGCCTCGTCCTGCGGAAGAGCACATACGGACGAAGTGAGCTGGCATTTCCCTTATCAAAAATAAACAAGTCTGAGCGTGGGTGTCCTGTCAATCAGAACACTTAGCCATGTTACAGGCTGCAAGTGATGTACAAATCCATTACCCAGACATAAAACGCTTTACCAAAAAACAAATTAAATAGCTTTATAGCTCTTAGCCGGATATATTGCCAAAATATGCAAAAGATGAAATATGTATGTGACTTCAAGAGAAGAAATTGAAACCAGGAGCCAACTGCTTCTCAGCAGTGCAAATTACACTCCAACTCTCTGTATTTTCATGTCTTGTCTTGTTTGTCTTATTAAGATTGTAAACTTGGTGGGGGAGAAGGAGAATCTGTCTCTTGCTCTATTCTATCACCCAGTTGAGCATGTTCCTGTTAGTACTTCTGCTGCAAATTAATATTTATTGTCATAGAAAGGAATTCATTTTTATAAGACAGAAAGGAGGGGGGGGGTTGCCTCCTTTAAAAATGTAGGTAAGACAATTCACCTCTCTTCTTATTTTCCTCTCTAATAGAATGGGAGCACCCAGGTCATGGTGTGAGCCTTCATTAGACCAGACCTGTGAAGTCCACTGAGCTCCTCAGAGGTCTGGTGTGATGTAAGCAGCAAGTATGAGTAACATGATTGGGTTGGGTTGTGTACATTCCAATGGTTCAGCCAAAAGATTTCAGAAGGACATTGGTAGGTTTGCCATACTTTATTTCATAAAAAGTTGTTGTCCCCATAATTTTTTCATAGAAATGATTCCTAATATTCAGACAATGTTGTACTTGTCAGATGACAGGGACCTGCTCGATGATGGCGAGGTAAGCTCACACAGAGAGGCCCAGGTTCCTCTCTCCTTTTCATCCCCTGGAGTCAAGGGAAGTCTCAAAGGGAAGGTGCTCTTGGAACTCTTGACACCTAGTTCATTATCAATAATGGTATCTAAACTTTTCGTTTTTCCCCCCGAATGCATACATTCAGGATCGCATATAGTGTCCATCTGAACGAGGATTCTGATCAAGAATACCATTTTCTCCAAAAGACCTCCAGGAGAAATGTCACTGTTGGCACAGTCACGCCTAGCCGTACCTTGTTTCAACGGACTTCGACTATAACACACAGAAGAGCTAATGTTGCAAATCGATTCCAACTCATTCAAGAATAAGAACCATTAAATTACCTTACTGTTCTAGAACTATGAAAGAAACTTCTCTGTGAGACTAATGCCGAGTTCTGTCAGGACTGGGCAACGGGGGTGCCGGGAGAAGTTTTGAAATTCTAACTGGGGTTACAATCGGCTCTTATCTCCAGATCACACTTTCTGGAGTCAGGCTCAGACCCTGCCATTCTCGGGGTTCACATGCAAACTCGACAGTGTGTCATACCCCAGCCATTCTCCTCGAATGACCTAGTCTGGAGTCCCCAGTGCTGTTGAATGCATCCAGCTTCGTCACTCATTTCTAGATTGAGCAATGTCTATGCTCAAACAGAAGAACAACAACTCGTGAAATTAAAGCACGGACCAGAGTGTAGCACATCCGTTTTCCGACTATAACTCAGAGCACCCCACCTTCTGCTCTCCGTCATAGTCAGAGTTCATCAGGGGTCACATTTCATCAGCAGTCAGGAGGCAAAACAAACGATGACTTTTCCTTCATGGAGTCAGGCAAAAAAATGTGCCCTAAAACATTGCAATCGATGGCAAAGCTTAGACTACCTACAGGGATTAAAAGCCAGGATTCCGTGAGCACATACAGCGAAATCAAAATACATATCTCATTCTAAAATTATAGAAGTCACATGTGGGCATAAAAACTCAAGATTTAGAACTTAAGGTAGTTTGATTTCAAGTAAGGCTCCTATTTAAATGTGTATTCCTGTTTACATAAAAATATAAATTTGGGAATTTTTCTTGAAAAATCTAGCACAGATCTAAGACTATAGATTTCAGGAACGTAAGCATTATTAATCATCTTGTTTTTCTCGGGGAAAAAATGTCTGTACTGAGAGAATATTACAAAGAGCGGAATATTCTTGACTATCTTCTCTTTCTCTAGAAAGAATGGCTGATGGAAAAGTGAGCTTAGTTAATAACAGAGCCAGGGCGGTGACCAGTGTGATGGGTTCTCTGTCACCATACTCTCTCCTCATTAGTCCTGTCTTGCTGGGGTTCTCTAATTGAGTGAAAATAAAAGGTATTAGATTCCTTTCTCCTAAATGACTCAAAACGAATGAAAAATATTCATGTTTGTAATATGACAGTTTTGTGACAGAATAAATCAGAGGTCAGCAAACTATGGCCCTTGGGTCAAAACTGGCATCAGGTTGCTTTTGTAAGAGAAGTCTTCCTGAAGGCAGCCTTGCTCCTTCATGTATGTAGTGTCCGTGGACGCTCTGGCTCTTAACTGTTGAGTGGAGTCGTCAAACACAGACCTATGTCCCACAAAGCCTCAATTATTAACTCAGTGGCCCTTTACCAAGTTTGCCAAACACTGGAGCAGAGTTTCTTACTACATACAGTTTTTTTAAAAAAATTCATTTAAAATTGAGATATTTTAAAAATAATGTCTTAGGAGCCAGGCCAGTGCGGCTCAGTGGATTGAGTGTCGTCTCATAGACCGAGGTCCAGGTTCGATTTCCAGCCAGGGCACATGTCCAGGTTGTGGGCTCAATCCCCAGTAGGGGGCGTGCAGGAGGCAGCCGATCAATGTTTCTCTCCCACATCAATGCTTCTATCTCTCTCTCCTTCTTCTCTCTCTAGAAAAATCAATAATAACAAATATGTATGTAAATTGGAAAAAGAAATGTTATTAAAAATGTTTAAGAATGATTAAGTCTCAGGTATAAACTTTTATTATAATCAAAATCACATATGCCACCCAAACTCTATTTCCATCAGATCTAAGTGACTGTACCACTTGATGCCGGTATGATAAAGTTTGACAAACTTCCTGTAAGAGAAAGGAAATGACTCTTCCTCTCTAGCACTTGATAAAACATGTTCTGATAAACTACATTTCTAATTTGTGCACTAACACAGCTATTATTTAAAACAGAATAGCTTTTACAATTCTGTTAATGGAGGAAGAGAAACTACAATAAAATCACAGCTGTGCTGCCTTCTATTTGAAGTGAGGATTACTCTCCCAGGACTGTATTCTTATCTGTGTAACTTAGCTGGTGCTCCACAATCACTTTCCAATACACGTGGGACTAAACATGCCCTGTCAATCAGAATCTACTCGCCGAACTCATAATTGACAACAGACCAGAATACATAGCACAACAGAACGAGGCTGGCCCCAAAGCACATGGCTGAATTGAACCCAAAGCTTCTACAGTTCCAATTCGATCAGCAAAAGTGTATGTGGAAGGGATGAGGGAGCGGGAGGAAAATAACACCATGAATCAAATTCCCTACAGGTAATAACATAACACATTAACTGCCTACATGAAAGGGAAAAAAATCTCAATTACAAAAGAAAAAAACAAAGTCCTCAGCACTCAGTTGTCAATGGGTCATTCCTGCTTTGTACAAACCATGACTTGGGATTGAAAAGCTGCTTCTAACAAATACACGCACTGTTTTGTGATCACAAATACATGGCTTATGCATTTTATTAAATGAAAATTTAAAAGATTATTGACTTACTCTTTCTTTTTTTTAAGTAAACGATATTGTTCTGTACCGGAAAATCTAATCTAGGTTGTAGATTTATAAATTTTAAACAATGTAGCCCTGACATCTAGTGGCCATCACCAGGAATACAGCGTGGGAGCATATTTGGTTACTTATCTGAAACCCTAAATTGATTTCTCCTGTAAGTTCCCTAAAAATATCTTTTTACTAAAAACACAAAATATAAATTTAATAACATGACAATAAAGAAAGTTATGTATCAATAATCTGATGAATACTAGTTGCAAATAATTGTCATTCAGCTGAAATAAATATAGAAAAAAAAACAAAAAACTAGAAATTGATGAGGTATTGTATATTTGTTAAACATATTTTGAGTTAGCCCTGGCAGGTTTGTCTCAGCGATTAGAGCACGGCCTGTGGACCAGCGAGTCCCGGGCTCAGTTCCCACTAAAGGCACGTACCTTGGTTGCAGTTTGTCCCCGGCCCCGGTTGGGGTCGTGTGGGTGGCAACCAGTCAATGTATCTCCCTCACATTGATGTTTCTCTCTCTCTTCCTCCCTCTCTCCCTCCTGTTCTATCTGAAGATAAAAGCAAAAAAAAAAAAAAGTGTCCTCAGGTGAAAATAAAAAAAATTTTTTTTAGTTAAATCCATACAGATTGTGACTATATTTACCCATGCTATTTTCATTACTTCACAGATATCTATATTTATGAATCAAAGTGTAAAGAGTAGTTTTCAAAAAATTTTCTGTGATATTTAAAATATAGATGACACTTTCCTGTCCAATCCCCAACTACTAAATGGTTTACTTACTCATTCCTGCATCTTCTCATTCTCTGATGCTAGAATTTCCATAAATGTTTAGAATAAGCAGAATCTTAGCTTTAGAAATATAAAATTCTCTGTAGAGAATCATTATTATTACAACTTATTGACTAGTTATTAGACAACCCTTTTTCAATGTAAGTATACACTAAACCTTAAATTGTTACATTCTGTCCAATTTTCTTTTTGTTTTCTCCCAATAGCCTGACTTCATATGCTTCTGTCAAAAGGTATATCAAACAAATATTTATAATACAGATAAACATAAGTTATTAGAACAAGATATTAGGTTATGTATAGCTCTGATACAAGAAAATATTACTTTATTAATTTTCAAAATGTAGAAATAATATCTATTAACTAAGATTTAGATTTATTGCCCTGGCCGGTGTGGTTCAGTGGTTAGAGCATCAGCCCATACACCAAAGTGCTGAAGGTTAGATTTCTGGTTAAGGGCACATATCTGGGTTGCAGTTTCGATTTCTGGCCTCAGTTGGGGCACATGTGGAAGGCAACCAATCAGTGTGTCTCTTTCACATCGATATGTTCCCCCCCCCCCACCTTGTACTCTATCTAAAAAAAAAAAAAAAAAACAATGTAAAAAACACCCCCAGGTGAACATTAACAATGAAAAAAGATTTGTACTTATTATTATTGTTTTAATAAATTACTTACCTTAAGGGTAATTTCCTATATATCATGCATTAGTAATTTTTCTTTTCCTTCCTCTGATTACCTCTAAAATTGCATGGGCATCATGAAGGGTAAGATTAACCTGATTGTATAGGTGAAAAACAGACCAATACTACTGTACTGAACTCATCCTTGTATTCCCAAACCCATAAGTAAATATGCACACACACATTTGCATGTACTCGCATGTTTACAAACACAGGGCTATAAGAGTTCTTGAGACTGACTTTTAAATTTTTGGTATATTGAATAATTGTGGTATAGTCTTGAATCTGTAAAATTGTTATTGCTGGTGTAAGTATGAAAAGTGTTGGGGTCCACAGCAAAGTAGTGAGTGGACACTATGTTCTCGTATCTCGAAACGCTAAATACTACATGTGCCAGGGAGCTACCCATTAGTAACGCTCTTTGAATCTAAGCACACATTTTACAATATGCATTTTATAGTTAATTCTTGTTTGACCAAATGTTAAAAACAAAAATCTAGCATTGGCTTGGATTTTTAAATTACTATTACTAAAATTCTTATGAAGGCTGGCTAGTAAGATTTGATTTCAAAGTTACTATCATATCAAATTCTGAATTTAGGTTGATCTATTTTATTCCCCTAAACCAGTATTGAATTACCACCAGAGGCAATGATATAAGAAAAATTTGATAGGCTTGGCACAAAACCATGGTTGATCTGCTCATATGTAAGAAAAAAATTGTGTATGAACGCGTGTGTGTGTGTGTGTGTGTGTGTGTGTGTCCTCTTAACCACCTTCATACATAATTGGCTCCTCCAAGTATTTCTAATCAATTAAATAGCTTATCATCATAGGGAGAGGAAATATGACATGAGATGACGAACCACAGAATGCAGTAATACTAGGGTTTCTTGCATTAGATAAAATTAGATGGTCCATATTGTGTATGAACTAGATTATACTTTAATGAGAGGAACAAAAGAGCGATGTTCTATATTATGACACGTATTGCTATTGAAGGAGTTCCTGCTAAACTGTACTGGGCATACTTACTAGAAGGGCCAGGCACTTACTACATGCTTACTGGGGGAAAATGGCCAGATCAATTCATTCTCAAAATGTGCAGTAGGGAACTCCTCTGACCTACCCCAAGGCACCCCTCTGTGAAATGCTTACATTTTCCAAGCCTAGGAGCACAAGGAGTGGGATTGTTGTCATGCCTCCTTGGATCCATTCCTCCAGAGAAACGGTCCCATCATGATCATAGTCAATTTCTTCCATCATTTCATGAAGGATCTGAAGCGGAGGAGTAGAGGGAAACAATGTGATAAATTAGATACATTTCAGGTGGTACAACAAAGCATTGCACTGGATTGGTTGTCACTATGACCAGTGGCTAAGTGGAGAGTTGAGATAAATATCTAGGTAAGATCGTACACTATTAATCCTAGTACTGAGAACATAGTGGTTTTGTTATGATTTCCAGAACCTTACTACTTTCATTGATCAACTTTTAAAAATAACTGCCCCACTTTTTAATATGTCATCATGGAATGGTACAGCTAGACCAATAAGGTATCTTTAATTTAAAAGTAAAAATTAAATTGCTTTCTCTCAATTATTTTTTACATTTAAATATATGCTAGATAATGTCTGAACAAATTAACTGCATGGCAGAGAGCTAAAATAACTCTTTGCTAAGTGGTAAAAGCCAGGGAAATTAAGTTGCATTTAATTGCCTATTAGAACTTAATAGAGCCAAGAAGTTAAACAATCAAGTTATTTTTTATTAGATTTTTTTCCAAAGATGACTAGCAGAGTGTCCCAAAATGTTCTCCACAGTCTGTGTTGGAAATACTGTTGATTGTATAGCAGTAATAACAGTATTTGATTCAAAGGACTGGTGTAAGGGTTAAATATGTTAATATAAGTATCTTTGAAGAGCAACGAGCATGTATAGTAAGTGTGATATAGGTGTTGTGAGTGTTACATTAGCAGAAATTATGTGTGAGTTCAAAACATTACCGTTGGCTCTGGGAAGGCAAAGAGCTTCTCATCGAATTACACCAAAATGGCACACACAGTCGAGTTCCAATGAAGAAAGTATCTCACCATCTTTATCTAATATGGACATTTCCATCAATTCAAAAAAACGCAAAGAGCATTAGAACATAACTTTGATAGAGGTGTTTTTTGCCTAAAATTCCTGAACTTAATTTACTAGTGTTTTCCTTCAGAAAGGCTGTGAAAATCAGATGATTTTCCTTCGGAATAAACTAATAGATAAACGAAACATACTTTTTTGGAACGAAATGATGGTGAGCTAATTATTTTATTTGGCAAATGGCATAAGATTTTATTAAAATGGCTTGCCCCTTGAAAAGGTACTCGGCTGAACTAGGAGACATGAATAAATGAAGAGACATAAAATACAGAGCATTTGATTCCCATGGCTGTTGCTTTTATTTTGTGTGGAGTAAATCTAATGTTAAAGGCTGGGTACGTTTTTTAAAAGTTCTTTCCTTTGCCCTGGCTGGTTTGGCTCAGCGGTTAGAGCATCGGCCCGTGGTCCAGAGAGACCCGGGTTCGGTTCCCGCTAAGGGCATGTACCTCAGTTGCAGTTTGTCCCTGGCCCCGGTTAGGCGGTGTGGTTGGCAACCACTTGATGTGTCCCTTTCACTTCGATGTTTCTCTCTCTCTCCCTCTCTCTCCCTCCCACTTTATCTGAACAAAAAATGGAAAAATGTCCTCGGGTGAGGATAAAAAAAAAAAGTTACTTCCTTTGATAACAGTGCAAATAGTATTACAATGAATGAAGCAGCATTCTTAGAATTAAATACGTTACCATAAACTTTAATATTTTATATAAAAAATATAACATTGTTGTAATATCTGAACTCATTATACAGAGCTTGTACATTTCTATGTCCCCCAAAAAGAAAAATCAGTGAAGTTCAAACGTGAAATGCCATGTTCCTATAAAAATGGTGCCCTCCTTTGTACATGACATTGCCTGTGATTCTATTCTACTTTGTTGGCAAGACTTTGCAAAGCAAGGAAAATACTATCACCGCTCTTACGTCACATAATCATGCCATTATCATGCTATTTACTGCAGACATGTGAACAGTGTTTGAAGAATAGGTTCTTAAATTTAAATAAAATATAAACCATTTAAAGAATATTAATTTGTATTTGCCATTTTAATTCGTGTACAATTTGCTAAATTTAGTTGGCTTCAAAAATAAACTAAAAATCAATAATACTTATTAAGTCTCTCCAAAATGTTACTTGTGGCTAAAGTCAGTTTCTAACCAAGTACGTTTTACTATACATTTCAATGATCTTGTAACTTTGGTATAAACCTATTAAAAACAAGTTTTCATGTTCTTATGAGCATTGTTAGATACAATTCCTATAAATAATTTGATTAAAATCCTAGCTCTAACTTTAACTAGCTGAAGAGCTTTGGACAAGTAACTTTAACATTCATGATCTCAATTTCCTCATCTGAACAATGGCTAGAATAGGAGTACCCACCTCAGCAGGTGGCAGACATTAAATAACATATATAAAAGATACTTCAATACATTGTGCACAGTAAGCTATCACCATCATTATCTTTTTTCATTTTTGTAAGTAATTTTTTTATTAATTTTTTGGAGAGAGAGAAAAGGAGAGAGAGAAAGAAACATCGATGAGAGAAAAACATCCATCAGCGGCCTCCTGCACGCCCCTGACTGGGGATCGAGCCCACAACCTGGGCATATGCCCTGACGAGGAATCGAACTGGGAACCTCTCAGTTCATGAGACAATGCTTAATCCACTGAGCCACACTGGCCAGGCTTCTTTTTTCATTAAAAATATATATATATATATATATATATATATATATATATATATATATATATATATATATTTTACTACTTGTTAGAGAGAGAGAGGATGGGAGAGGGAGAGAAACATCAGCCGGCTGCCTCCTGCACTCCGCCCTACTGGGCATTGAGCCTACAACCTGGGCATCAAACTGGCAACCTTTCTGTGCAGAGGATGCTGCTCCTCAACTGAGCCACACAGGCCAGGCCTTCACCTTCTCAACCATCTTCATCCTCTTCTAGAACACCTCCTTTACCGATTTCCAGACAGGACAGGCATGGAGATGAACAGCATACACCATGTGACGCTCTGTGGCATGCATGCCGGAGGCAGTGTTCATCAGCAGCTTCTGCTCATTGACACATATGTAAGATCACTATTCACGTGAACTTCCATAAGGAAGAAAAGCAAAAGTCTCTGCTGTTTTCAGAACATCCCATATATCCTTCCTCGATCAGGATCCACTTTGGCTACTGATTAGAAATAATATCTTAGAGTTATTAAAAAAAAATCAAATGACAGTAGAGTATTAGGGTTCCAAAAAAGACAAAAGAGAAAGGCGTCTTCTAGAATTTAGCCAAGAGTTCGGTCATCCCTATACCTACTGGATTGAGTTCGGTGACGTCCCATTCAAGGTACTCTGCGACATGCATCATCTGGCTGATGATATTTTCTAGTTCCTGGAACAGAGAGGGGCAGGGAGAGACCGTCAGTGCAAAGTCTTCATCAACTCTTTAACGTCAACTTACAGGAGCCGTTGGCTCAACATGTAGCCCCCAAACTAAAAGAATTATATTATGAATAATATATATATATACACACACACATAAAAGAAGAGCCTCGATATAAATTCATTTTGTACTTTGTCTGGAGCTCTTCACCAGGAGAGGGCACAACTATGCAAAGAAAGAGTTTCTTCTACTAAACATTTTTAACAAGGGTTTCTTTGGAAAGGAGTATCTGATGACAGTGAGAACGTATGTATTTTCACAAGATGTGATTTTTCAGTCACTGAATATCTTGACTTTTTGGCTTGAAAGCAGGTGTTGAAGGAAGTGTCTGAGGCAACGAGAGGTCTACTTTTTATCCTGATACGCTGAGAACGCAGACTGATGGTTCTAGCCATTTATTAGGAGAATCTGTTCTGCTAGAGGAGACTTCAGGGAGGCTATGGATGTGTAGAGTTTATTTTATGAGGAGATAGAACTTTAGTTTGAATTTTCACATTTTTCTATTCAAATGTCCACTTTTTGAAGAACTGCTAACAAATACATATGGCTTTGCTAAATAAATCCAATTTTTTTTTCATATACATTTATTTATGTTTTAATTTATTCCCATCTCCAGAAAAGATTAAAGGTACATTGTAAATGCTAGCAATTTTCAATGTAGTCAATGACATAATTTTTTTAAATGGTGTTATAAAGTATAATTTAAAATGTAAGTATAAAAGAATAAGGTTTGAAAGTACATTAACCAAAGATTATTCTACACAAAACTCTGATCTAATATATGAGGCTAATATTCATAGAATCAGGACAGAAATGTGGTAGAGAGGTTTTCTTTGGGGAATCACAAGTCCCTATGATAAAAACTACACTCTCTGCAGAAAAGATATAGTTATGAAAATGTTACTTATGTAATAAAGGTTGCCCCCAAAACAATATAAATATAAGCTTTTATTTACTACAGACAAGGAAAAGTTTAAACACAAATCCTTGGAATTATAGGCTAGAATTTGTGTGTGTGTGTGATTATCTTTCACTTACAATATATTTGCTATATATGCCTGAATGGTTTGGAAAGGTTAAAGTCCCTTTGGATATGTTTTTAGGAATAAAAACTATTTTTGGTGGACTGTTATGGGGGTTTGTGACATTATTAAAGTCAATTAACCTCTCTTAGACTCAATTTCTTAAACGGTAATAATATTATTTTTAATACTCTAATCTTACTTAGTTTGTAGAATTGCTGCAAAGATTAAACATGCTGTTATATAAATGTATTTATCTTGTCTGCAAGTGATCAATAAACATTAGCTAGTATTATTAGACATAGTGGCCATTTTTCAAAATATCAATTTTTCTGTTTTGCCATCAATATGTCAACTGCTACACCTTTAAATTTCTAAAACAAATGACATCGCAAGGTGTAATTTCATCCTGATATACAAGGAAATATACAGGGACAGTAAATTTTGCGGAAAAAATGCCATAGAAATTAAATCCAGACCTTTAAGTGCACAAGAACAAACAAAAACAAAACAATAAACCTATTTTAATCATAAACAAATGTATTTATCCTCAACTCATTGTTTGATTTTGTAAATAAAGTCACAAATATTGCTGGTAGCTTGCTATATATAAACAAAAAAAATGGCAGGGATCAAAAAAAGCATTTGATTAAATTTCCAAATCAGCTGCCAGCCCACGGCTAAAAACCTAGTAAAGAAACATCCTTATGATTTCATTAAAAAGAAACATTAAATAAAATAAATCTGCAGTAAAAATGTAATTTGCATTAGTGTAGTCAGAAGTGCTACAATAAGCGTATTGAAATAACTTGGGGAAAAAAATCAAAACTCCGAGCTGTGAAATGCCACCAGAAAAGGAGCAAGTATATAATGTAGCTTAATATTCCCAAATAGAAAATTGAACACCATTAGGCAAATAAAAGTGATAGCATCTGGATAAACAGAGAGAATTAACCCTAAGAAATTTTGCAGTTGTAACACCAAATCAGACTGTTCGTTTCCTAGAGTGGAATCGTGTATTTTCATCACTCTCTGGAGAAGCTAAGGCACCACTATCCTTCTGAGTGTTGCAGAACTAGGTCTCCAACTCCACCGCTTCGCTTGTAAAGTCTGTTGGACGGTCACTGGATGATGAGAGACACTCATTATCACAAACAATGTTTCTTTTAATCTGTATTAACTATATCAAAACATTAATTTTTTTGAGGTACTTGTGCACTTTAAAAGTTCCATAACCTGACACTTATTCTTTCATTAATATTATTACTTTTCCTTTATACAACAGAAAATAACATAGTATGAAAGATATGTTATCAGCAAATATTAAATATATTATTGGATGGAACCTGAGATAGATATACATATGAGGTCCTGATTTTTACAGTAGAACTGAGTGTAATTTCTCTTCTGGAAACTACTAATGAATTGCATAAATTACAAATAAAATAAACATTTAATTATTTCTTTCCATCAAATCATACATAGATGGTACTTTTGTTCTATTGCTTTCTATATAAAAAACTAGAGAGTATGCAAGTTGCATTTGAAATTGAATGAGACACTTTTAAAAGGGAAGTTTGTCAAAGCAATGTGCAAATACATTTAGCTATTTCGCCAGCATAAATAATTAAGAATATTTTTTAAAAGTGGGAAAATACTACAATGATTAAATTGACTTTATAATTCCTTTAAATTCTACTTGTATTCTCAGGATTTTTGAAAGTGTCAAATCTCACTGTTTTTTTTCCAAATCAATGGTGCTCAACTTTCTCATGTTTTATTCAAATAAGATGAGTCTTTTTTCATTTTTCAGTGCATAAAATGTCATTTTTCTGTAGTAAAATTACTCAATAGAACAATTGTAATCCTAACAGTCTTCTCAGACCCTCTCTTTCAAAAAGTCAGATGATCAAAATGCTGTGTAAGTACATGGGGATTATATTAAGTGTGTCTCCTGTGGTAATAGCTATAAATTTATTCATTGCATTCTTTTCAGAACAAACTACTTCACAAACGTCACAGAATATTTGAAGGAAACAGTTACCGAGCTGTCCAGGGAGCCATTGCCGTCCGTGTCGTAGAGGCGAAACATAACTAGAAACAGAAGAGGTGTTGAAAAAAGACAGGATAGACGAATAAGCTCAATGTTATTATAAGGCATAGTCTTCAAAAATGTACTTGAAAACAAATACTAACTCCCAGCCTTACGCAAAGCAATCCATTTGTGAGATCATTTCTCAAGCTAAATTGAAAATGAATAAATCAGTTAACAAAAATACTGGCTTTCGGATAGAATGTCCACCAATTTTTGTTATATATCTAGAAAACATCAGTATTTGTTCAAAATTTTTATTACAAGATCATTAGCTGGAAACTCAAGAAGAACAGAAGAGAAGGAATTTAGACATTCCGACTCTGGATATTAAATGGCACAATGGATAATAAGAAGCAACTCATTCGGAGGACTGGAAATCAATTATAATTTGGGAATCTAGCAGCCTCTATTATGTAAGCTGACGTGAGCTTTCTCAAACACAGTCTTCCTCTCTGTGAAAAGAGAATAATCACCCTGCCATCAGACACATGCTTGCTGTGAAGTTAAGTAAGTGATACACACAGATGCCTATCAACAGCCGTAAGTCACTACACAGAAATAAGCCACTGCTCTGATTCATCCCCAAGCAACGTGTGGGGAAAACCAAGATTAATGCAAAATAAGGGGGTTTTTCTGATGGAGGATGACAAGGCATAAAATGCATTATCATCCTGGCCACAAGGGTGTGTTGAAATCTGAGACGTAGTTTTATAGTGTAACCACTCTTTGAACTAATCAAGTATGAAAAAGGGGAGTGTGGGCTTGGCGGTAGTGACCCCAGGAAAGCAGGATGTCAGAGTCCACGACTGGCCTCCGGATCCCCCTGTATAATCCACACGCCATCAGGGGACCACGAACAGGCTGCATGTGCCGTGTTGACATCAACTAAAAAGAATGGCGCAGCTGTACAAACACAAGTGGAAGTGAGGGTTTGTGTTGGGTTGGTATAATGTCCTAGAGAAGCTTGATGCCTGAGGACTATAATATTAAATCATGATATTGATAACGAGGAGGCATGTTTGTACAATGACCTTGAGCATGTATTTGTAACTAATTTTCTTTTTTTTTTTTTGGTATTTAAAAGCCTTATTAGGTCTCACAAATTCTAAGAGATGGTTATTTATAAGACGCAAACTAGTCTGTGCATCATTAAAAGGAAAAAATGTTGTTGAACTATCATCGTTCTATTTATGGCAAAATGCAAACAGTCTTTAAAGATGTTAAAATGCAAGGGGAAAATGTGCATTTATTGAATTAAGAGAAATAATGGGCTGGCTAAAAGACATAATTATCTTTATTTGCAAACCATGGTGGTTGTTCTCTGTCAGATACTCAATAAGAGAACACAATTCAGAAAGGAAAAAACAACAACAACAAAAAAACACCCAATCGCCATGTGGATATTAAACATTTCCAGATTTCCCAGTACAGAAGAAAATGGTAAAAATATTTTTGTAATTGGCAAGATTTCACACACCACTCAGAGATGGGTTAATTACTAGGACCAAGTCAAGAATGTAGAAAAGCCTAACTATGTTTAGAATGAAAGACATGCAACTCTGCTAATTCTTCCTGGCGTCAATGGCTGCTAAACCCTTCCATACAGCTCAGATATATGGAACCCCTGTGCCTGTTGCTTAACCTTGTTGGACACATGAGCTCAAAGACATACACACAAACAGGATGAGCGTGTGGGTAACCATCATTCATTTCAACAGCATCGGAAACTTCTTGCTATGCCCTCAAAGCCACATCTTACAAAGCACCATCAGGCTGAAACGCCAGATACCTTTTCTTCATTAGCTTAGATTGAAGATAGAATTTACACATGACCTAAGCTCTACCAATCAGAAGCACAAGCCCAGATGATCATTCGGATGCTAGCGACCCAAGAAAAAAGAAGCTGCTGAGAATCCTTTCTGGTGATGGGGGTCAGCAGCATCAGTAGCAGAGACTGAAGGGAGAGCAGCCAGGGTCCTGGAGGGGTCAGAGGTGTTGTCATTGCAAGGTCTCTGCCCAGACAGGCAGCAATGGATATTTTCCATAGTCCAGTTTATACTTAATCTGGTCATTGTTCCTAGAGAAGTAGCCTCCAAATCTAGTTGTCTGCCTCTCCTGATGATTTAATATGTTCCTTAATATCATTTAAAAGATGATAACCTGCTTTATTACGCATAAATTTAATTAAAAACTAATCTGTTTCTCTGTCTTCCTCCGTGATACTATGAACTAAAAGTTGGTTTTAAAAATAAACATATCATTTAAGTATTACATTTATAGAGAAATATAACATTTAATAAATTATCAAAGTGAATGCATCAATGTAACTAATTGTTCAACTCAAGGAACAGAATACTACTAACACAGCAGAAATCCTCTCATGCTCCCCATCATTATTTCTTCCCCCCTTTACAAAGTTCACCACTATCTTGGACTTCTACATACATTGTTTTTATTTTAGCATCACTTACTAAATGCTCTGTTTCTGATCTTGATCTGTATTGCTGTGTGTAGCATTAACTCATTCATTTTCTTTTCTACCTATTAATCCAATGTATAAAAGCATCACAGTATCCATGCTAAACTTAAGAGATATTCAGATTGTCTCCAGTTTGCTATTTCTAGTAAGGCTGGTGCTATTTCAAAAAATTCTGCTATTAACCTACTTGTAAATGGCATTTATGTTTAGATAAACATTTGCCAGTGGGTGACAAACCAGTAAAAGGAAAGCCTGGGTCATAGGATTTTCAAATATTTACTTTAGCAATATTGCCAAACATTTCACAAGTGAATTGACCCAACTATATTCTGTTTTCCAGAAAGGCTTGAACTTTCTCGGGATATTGCAGACTCTCACTGTTCCAGTTCTAGCCAGTCTGGCTGCAATTACATGAGAGACCTATGGTCAGAACAGCCCAATTAAGCCTTTCCCAGACATAAAAACGAGAGATAATAAAATGAATTCTGTTGTCTTAAACCACTGAGCTTTGGTGGTAATATGTTAAGGTAGACAAAGGAACAGTATAAATATCCAAGCATGAAGTGCTATTACTGGAAAGATCACCTTGACTTGCTCGGTGATGCAGCACCGTCATAATCAATGTGTCCATGTAAGTTTGGGTCAGTTTCTAGATTCCCCATTTTGCTCCACTGATTTATCTATCCTTGCATCAAGAGTGCACTGTCTTAGTTACTGGGGCTTTTAAAAAATTATCTTGATATGCAATGAAACATACCCTCTGACTTTGTTCAGCTTCAGCTTTCTTTTAGAAATTGACATGCAGATTTCAAAATTTATATCAAAATAAAAAAAGACTAAGAATGCCCAAAACAACCTTAAAAAGGGAGAACAAATTTAGAAGATTTACATTACCTGACCTATTTGTTGTTAAAAAATCAAGGGTAATCAAGATGATGAAGTTGTAGCTAAAGAATAGACAAAACAATGGGAGAATGCAGGTGGGGTAGGGGTAGGGGGAGGGGCATAAATAGTGATGATGGAAGAAATTAACTAATGGGAGAAAATAGAGTCCAGATGTAGAGCCATATGCATATGGTGAACAAAATACCAAAACAGTTCAAAGAGATAAGAAAAGTCTTCGGAAAATGACGATGGAACAACTACATGGATATCAACTTTTAAAAATATTAACTCTAATTTTCTTAAATATGTTTTTATTGATTTTTTAGAGAGAGAGTAAAGGAGAGAGAGAGAGAAAAAAAAACATCAATGAGAGAGAGAAACATCTATTGGTTGCCTCCTGCATGCCCCCTACTGGGGATCGAGCCCACAACCTGGGCATGTGTCCTGACCAGGAATTGAACCAGGACCTCTCAGTCCATGGGACAATGCTCAATCCATTGAGCCACACCGGCTGGGCTGAACTTTAATTTTAACAGTAAAGCTAGGTGATAAAACTTCTAGAAGAAAATATAGGAAAATACTTCACAACCTTAACCATCCAACATGAACCATCAATGACAAATAATAATAATAGGCAAATTAAACTTTATCATAGTTAGAATTTCTGTTCATCAAAAAAGAAATAAAGAAAAAGAATGATAAAATTAAGACTTGAAAAGTTTCTGGAGCACATATATGTGACACAGAACTTGTTTCAGAATACATGAACAAATCTCAAATCTCAGTAATAAAATGACCAACAACCTAATTGAGAAAGAGGCAAAAAAACACAAAAAAAACTGAGAAGATACTTCAAAACAGGAAGATATATGAATGGCCAATCAGAACAAAGCATTAAATATCATCAATCACAAAAAAAGGAAATGTAAACCACAACTAGAAACCACTGCATTAAAAAGAATCTGGGCCCTGGCTGGTTTGGCTCAGTGGTTAGAGCATCGGCCTGCGGTCCAGAGAGACCCGGGTTCGGTTCCCGCTAAGGGCACGTACCTCGGTTGCAGTTTGTCCCCGGCCCTGGTTGGTCGTGCGGGTGGCAGCCACTCGATGTGTCCCTTTCATGTCGATGTTTCTCTCTCTCTCTCTCTCTGTTCCTCTCTCTTCCTCCCGTTCTATCTGAACAGAAAAATGTCCTCGGGTGAGGATAAAAAAAAAAAAAAAAAAAGAATCTGGAATTCGAGTTTTCCTGCCAAGACCAATCTATAAAACTGCTCAGCTGCTCAGCCTCTCAGCTGTAATTGTAAGAAATTACAATTTAAAAAGTGTCAAAGCCAGCCTCCCCATCCCAGAAATTTGACCCACAAACCCAGCTTGTCTTGATAATTTACTGAAATTTTCAGATATTTAAACAAACAAAAAAAAGCTTAGTCCCAATTTTCTAATTGTTTCCAGTAAGAAATCTGGTCTAAAAAACACTATTTCACTATTGTCTAAATGAGAAGACCTAATATACTTTACATAATTAATTTCTAAACACATTAACAGGAGTTAATAGTTGTCTATGCATTATAACTAATTCATGAAGAAAGAAAATTGGAGAACTTTACTTCTTAGTCACTAAAATAGCAATAATAAAAA